TTTCTTCCCTACATTCACCTGAATTATGGCTACAAGCATTTTTAAATAATCTGGAAAAAAGAAAAATAAATTTTTTAAATAAAAAAACAACAACAACAAAAAAAAACATCGAGAGTGTGCCCGCAACCAAGGTACATGCCCTTGACCGGAATCGAACCTGGGACCCTTGAGTCCGCAGGCTGACGCTCTATCCACTGAGCCAAACCGGTTAGGGCTCCATTGAAATGTTTTAAAGGAGTTTGATGATGAAGCTTCCTATAAGTCAGCACTATATGGGTGGGCTCTGGGCTCCCAATACACTTAGCAAGTATTTAAGTCTTTTATGGAGCACTTACCATGTGCCAGGCACTCTGCTTTATGTATACTCTTTTTTCTTTTTAAAATATATTTTCATTGATTTCAGAGAGGAAGGGAAAGAGAGATAGAAACACCAATGATGAGAGAGAATCATTGATCAGCTGCCTCCTGCACACCCCCCATCATGAATGGAGCCCACAATCCAGGCATGTGACCCAACCAGAACTGAACCACAACCTCCTGGTTATAGATCAACGCCCAACCAGAGAGCCACACTGGCTGGGCTACATATACTCTTTCAATTCAACCTCACAGCATTCAGGTGAGGTAGATCTATAATAATAAAAGCATAATATGCTAATTAGACTAGACATCCTTCCAGATGACCTTCCGGATGAAGCCAGGGCAGCCGGGGTCCTGGGTGCCTACCGGCAGCCAGAGGGAAGCTGGTGCTGGCAGCTGGGGGAAGGAAGGCCTACTCTTGCACAAATTTCGTGCGGCGGGCCTCTAGTCTTATTATAATGTCCACTTTACAGATGAAGAACTGTAACTGAGATTGAAGAGATTAGATCACTGGACCAAAATCTGAGATCTGGCAGGGCTGGGATCCTAATTTAGAGCCAACTCCAAAACCCATTCTTCTTATATTATTATCTCCTTTCTCCTTATCAACTGTATCAAATTACTTAATTTAGGTGATCTTCTGTTTCCTTCTCAGCAAAATGGGGATAGTATTATTCTAATTCAGGAGGTTATGATAGGTTTATGAGAAGTTATGTAGTAGAAGAACCTATTCCAGTAAGCAAAGTAGGTACACACTGTCTTTCAGGTTAGCCTGACTCTAAAGCATTCATATCTGAGAAGAACCAGAATTATCAATCCCAGTTGCTTATGAAGAACAGGATCTCTTGTGAAACTACCCTGCTGGGCAAGTATTCCTGGTCTAAATTCCAAAGAGATAAAGCCTTGAGGGGGACCACAGTTATTCTCCAAGGAAGCAGGGCAATTCAGTGCACTTCAGAAATGAGAAAAGAACCTGCACTCAACCTACCCATAGGTAGCAGGATGGAAATCAGTACCTGATCAACGAAGAGATTTGAATCTGTGTCTGACAAGTTTAAGACTTTCTCCAAGGTTAGGGTATTTTACATGTAATCTTATTTAATCCTACCACAAGTTTAAAAGGTAGACCTTCTTATGACCTCCATTTCTCGGGCTCAAAGAGTTTAAGTGATGTGACTCAGGTCACATCTAATTTGAAGTAGAGAATGAACTGGAATTTAGTTTAGCTGGAGTGGGCAAACTTTTTGACTCGAGGGCCACAATGGGTTCTTAAACTGGACCAGAGGGCTGGAACAAAAGCATGGATGGAGTGTTTGTGTGAACTAATATAAATTCAAAGTAAACATCATTACATAAAAGGGTACGGTCTTTTTTTTTTTTTTTTAGTTTTATTCATTTCAAACTGGCTGGATCTGGCCCGCAGGCCGTAGTTTGCCCACGGCTGGTTTAGCACCATTGCGCCAAGCTTTCAGCTGTGTGTAGCCTGGTGAGTCTACTAGCAAGTTACTAGCCCTGCAACTTTAGGACTCTTTGGATGGAAACTGACTTCCAGGTTAAACATAACCCTGACATCATGCCCATTCATTACTCTGGGGGGGAGAGTGGGGGGGAGTGGTAATCAATTCTATGGAAATCAGCACAATTTAGGAAAAATGCTAACTAGAATGGTAGCTGTCCATGTAGCAATACAGATAAATACCAACATCTGAATAAAGGATGTAATATCATGTGAGGAATGCAAAAGGGAGAATAATAACTTTGTACAGCATTTTATGATTCACAAGGGATATTAATATCTAAGGCCCAATTTGCTTTTCACATCAGCCCTTTGTGTAGGCATTATTGACATTTCACAGATGAAGAAACTGAGACACAAAGAAGTTAATTTAATGTGAAGAAGTAGGCATGTATTATTTGATGGTTTCCCAGCCTCCATTCACCCTTTTTTGTGTGAAGGTACCCTATGTTTCCTTTTTTTTTTTTTTTTAATTAAATCTTTATTGTTCAGATTATTACATTTGTTCCTTTTTTTTTTCCCCCCATAACTCCCCTCCTCCCAGTTCCCGCCCCACCCTCCGCCCTCACTCCCCACCCACTGTCCTCATCCATAGGTGCACGATTTTTGTCCAGTCTCTTCCCGCATCTCCCACACCCCTTTCCCCCCCTAGAATAGTCAGTCCATTCCCTTTCTATGTCCCTGATTCTATTATAATCACCAGTTCATTCTGTTCATCAGATTATTTATTCACTTGATTCTTAGATTCACTTGTTGATAGATGCATATTTGTGTTCATAATTTGTATCTTTACCTTTTTCTTCCTCTTCCTCTTCCTCTTCTTAAAGGATACCTTTCAGTATTTCATATAATCCTGGTTTGGTGGTGATGAACTCCTTTAGCTTTTCCTTATCTGTGAAGCTCTTTATCTGACCTTCTATTCTGAATGATAGCTTTGCTGGATAAAGTAATCTTGGTTGTAGGTTCTAGGTATTCATCACTTTAAATATTTCTTGCCACTCCCTTCTGGCCTGCAAAGTTTCTGTTGAGAAATCAGCTGACAGTCGTATGGGTATTCCCTTGTAGGTAACTGAGTTTCTTTCTCTTGCTGTTTTTAAGATTCTCTCTTTATCTTTTGCTCTTGGCATTTTAATTATGATGTGTCTTGGTGTGGTCCTCTTTGGATTCCTTTTGTTTGGGGTTCTCCGTGCTTCTTGGACCTGTAAGTCCATTTCTTTCACCAGGTGGGGGAAGTTTTCTGTCATTATTTCTTCAAATAGGTTTTCAATATCTTGGTCTCTCTCATCTTCTGGCACCCCTATAATTCTGATGTTGGTACGCTTGAAGCTGTCCCAGAGGCTCCTTACACTATCCTCCCATTTTTGGATTCTTTTTTCATTTTGCTTTTCCGGTTGGGTGTTTTTTGCTTCCTCGCATTTCAAATCATTGACTTGATTCTTGCGCTCCTCTGGTCTGCTGTCGGGAGTCTATATAATATTCGTTATTTCAGTCCGTGTATGCTTAATTTCTAGTTGGTTCCCCAATATAAGATCGAGGGTCTCATTAGTTTTCTTGTAGATCTCATTAAGTTTATCGGCGGCTTCTAAACAGTTCTTGAGAGACCTTAAAAGTGTGGTTCTGAACTCTATATCTTCCATTGACAATTTTGTCCTGTTTCTTTGTCTCCGCATTTTGTTATGCTTCCTTGGTGCACCCCCTAGTGGTCTTTGTTCGCAGTCTTATAGTTAAATCTTGATTGTTGTAGCTAATTCCAGGGAGGGTTTGACCTCCAGGCCAAGTGGCTATGAGAATCAGCTGTGTCAGCAGTGAGAGAACTTCTGTCCTCTAGGGAGGTGCTAATCTAGCCTTTGCCTGAGGCTATCCGGCAAATGCCTGTGTGCAGGGCTTGGGCTGGGCGGGTCGCACAGGATCAACAGGGTGGGCCAGAGAGAGCAGTTATGGCGGCTCTCAGTCCTGTCCCCAGGGGCTCTGCTTCTCTGAGTCCCAGCACCCGCTGCAAAGCTCGGAGAGAAAGCCGCACTCGCTCTGACCGAAGCCAGACAGTCCCGCTTCTCCCGTTTGAGTCTGGGTCCCTAAAGACTCGCCCGGATCTGGAGCTCAGAGTCTGCGACTCCCTCCGGATTGAAAACGCCAACCGCACCCTCCGCCGCCAGCCCACTCCGCGCACTCTGCACCTCAGAATTTGACTTCAGCACTGCGCCTCCTCTGAGTGTCCGTATGCGTTTCTCTTTCCTCCTAGTTGTAGGACTTCCACTCAGCCAGCGTTCCTGTGGTTCTGGGTGATGTCCCTTCCGTTTTTTGGTTTCACTTTTGAAGTAGTTGTTCAAAGCAGCAAACTCCGGCGTTAACCTATGCCGCCATCTTGGTTCTCTACCCTATGTTTCCTTAGGTGATCAAATACCTGCCATCTCAGCAACAGCGATTGGATCAACATGAGCAGATAACATATCAGGTCTTTGAGGGTCAAGCTTAGAACTTTTGTTTGGGCTTTTGTTCAAATTGTTGAGATGGAGAAACTCTCTTAAACCCTTGGGTATGAGTCTGCAGTTAATGGCTACCACCACAAGAAAAATATATTCTGTGTAAATTTTAAACCCGTAGAAGACAATTCAGCTTAGCCTAGTCCAGTGGTCGGCAAACTGCGGCTCGGCAAACCGTGGCTCGCGAGCCACATGTGGCTCTTTGGCCCCTTGAGTGTGGCTCTTCCACAAAATACCGACTTCTGCACATGGGCCATGAAGTTTCATTCTTTTTTGTTTGTTTTTGTTTTTTTTTGGAGGGGGCACCCGGATCACGAAGTTTCAATCACACTGTATGTGTGTACCTGCACGTGGTATTTTGTGGAAGAGCCACACTCAAGGGGCCAAAGAGCCGCATGTGGCTCACGAGCCGCGGTTTGCCAACCACGGGCTAGTCAATGGGAAGCAGAAATAGAGGTTAAAAATAAAAAGAATGTATAGTAAATGGATGGTAAGACTAAATCTTATATAGTCATCACATTAAATGCAAATAAGTTAGTCTCACCAATTGGATTTTTAAAAATTACATCCAACAATAAATTGGCTATAAGAGATGCTGTTAAAACATAAAGATAGAAAGATTAGGTAGTTGTGTCTCGGAGACAGGTAGCGCTTGCAGCATGGCTGACCAACTGACGGAAGAGCAGATTGCAGAATTCAAAGAAGCTTTTTCACTATTTGACAAGGATGGTGATGGAGCTATAGCAACAAAGGAATTGGGAACTGTAATGTGGTCTCTTGGGCAGAATCCCACAGAAGCAGAGTTACAGGACATGATAAATGCAGTGGATGCTGATGGTAATGGCACAATCGACTTCCCAGAATTTCTGACAATGATGGCAAGAAAAATGAAAGACACAGACAGTGAAGAAGAAATTCAAGAAGCATTCCATGTGTTTGATAAGGACGGCAATGGCTATATTAGTGCAGCAGCGCTTCGCCATGTGATGACAAACCTTGAAGAGAAGTTAACAGATGAAGGGGTTGATGAAATGCTCAAGGAAGCAGATATTGATGGTGATGGTCAAGTAAGCTATGAAGAGTTTGTACAAATGATGACAGCAAAGTGAAGATATTGTACAGAATGTGTTAAATTTCTTGTATAAAATTGTTTATTTGCCTTTTCTTTGTAACTTATCTGTAAAAGGTTCCCCTCCTGTCAAAAAAAATATGCATGTATAGTAATTAGGACTTCATTTCTCCATGTTTTCTTCCCTTATCCTACTGTTATTGTCCTGAAACCTTATTTTAGAAAATTGATCAAGTAACATGGTGCATGTGGCTTACTCTGGATATATCTAAGCCCTTCTGCACATCTAAACTTAGATGGAGTTGGTCAAATGAGGGAACACCTGGTTATGCCTTTTTTTTAAGTAGTTTTCTTTAGGAACTGTCAGCATGTTGTTGAAGTGTGGAGTTGTAACATGTGGACTATGGACAGTCAACAATATGTACTTAAAAGTTGCACTATTGCAAAACGGGTGTACTATCCAGGTACTCGTACACTATTTTTTTGTACTGCTGGTCCTGTACCAGAAACATTTTCTTTTATTGTTACTTGCTTTTTAAACTTTGTTTAGCCACTTAAAGAAAATCTACTTATGGCACAATTTGCCTCAAATCCATTCCAAGTTGTATATTTGTTTTCCAATAAAAAAAAATTTTACCTCCCCCCCCAAAAAAGATAGAAAGATTAAAAATAAGATGAAAACAACAACAACAAAAATAAGATGAAAAAAGATACACCAGGAAAATATGAAGTAGGTCACTATCCTAATATCTGCCAAAAAAGAATTTTAGTCTCGAAAGATAACAAGTGAAAAAAAGTCATTATAGGTTCATAAAAGAAACAAAAGGCAAGTGCATAAATGCAACAGCAAAGCACATAGATGCACCTAATTATACAGCATTAAAATATACAGAAATGCAGGGAGAAATAGACGATACATAATTGTAGCTGGAGCTTTTAATATCTCTCTTTCATAAACTGATATATCAAGGCTTGCAGTACAATTACCATATTTCAACAATTCTAAACCGTATACAAGGTTGAACTCTAGAAGTATTAAAGACATAATATACATGAAAAAAATACAGAAGAAAAATATATAGCTTATGACTGAGGAGAAGGAAAGGCAAAAATTCAAAAGCGCAAACTATAAGACAATAATATTGATGAATAATAAGGATTTCTATTCAGCAAAAGACACTGTGGAAAAAGTACCTAGATGAGAAGATATTTAAAATACTTAATACACAAAACTCTTGCAAATAAACAAGAGGGCAGCAACCCTTAGGAAAAAGATAAACAAAAAATATAAAAGAGGAAATCCAAAATTCAAAAGCTTTCATTTAAAAAACAAACAAACAACAAAAAATATTCTATGAGCCCCCAATTCTACTCCTGGGATATATCACAAAGAAATTCTTAAGCAAGCACATAAAGGATTATGCATTAAAATATTCCTGTATTATTTATGATGGTGGGGACTTGAAGACAACCTGGCTGGCTATCATATCACTGAGAGACTTGATAGCTAAAATATGATAAATGTTATATCATGAAATATATGCGGCAATCAGAAGCAAGATTATATATATATACTAGTGGCCGGGTGCATGAAATTTGTGCAGGGGGGAGGGGTATCCCTCAGCCCGGCCTGCACCCTCTCCAATCTCGGACCCCTTGGCAGATAGGGCCTAAACGGGCAGTCAGACATCCCTTTCACAATCTGGGACCACTGGCTCCTAGCCACTCACCTGCCTGCTGGCCTGATTGCCCCCAACAGCCCCTCCCCGCCGGCCTGATCACCCCCAAATGCCCTCCCCTCCTGGCCTGATTGCTTCTAACCGCCTCTGCCTCGACCCCACCCCCACCCCCCATGGCTTTGTCTGGAAGGTCTCCTGGTCTAATTAGCATATTACCCTTTTATTAGTATAGATACAGAAATATGAACGCATTGTAAAAACATTGCTCAGTGAAAAATATGAAGAAACAAAATGAGATTTAAACACTATACCATTTTCATAAATTAAAAATACATCCACTCAAGATCCATTGGACAGTCTGACAGATCTCAGAGGGGAGGGAGATGCGGGTGGCGGGGGCAGGAAAAGATTAATCAAAGAACTTAAATACATATAGGCATAGCCCAAGGGCACAGACTAAATAGCAGGGTGAAGGCCTGGGGTGGGGCAGGGGCTGGGTGGAGGGGGGACAAGGGGAGGATGGGGGACATCTGTACTATTGTCAACAATAAAAAATATATATTAAAAAACCCATGCAAAACAAAAATCTACATTTTTTTTTTTGAGGTTAATATGTAAAAAGTCTTTAATCAAAATATTGACCAAATAACCAATTAATTATATCAAAGTGTTACCACGCAAAGGGGTTCTTGACCCTCCCTTACCCCAAGACAGAAATCAGGAGAGGCAGCTAAACAGATTAAAAAGAAGAGGTTTAGTGAAAGCAAGATGGAGGGAAAAGAGAAAGGGAAGGAACTTGATGCATGGAGGGAGCACACACTAAGGAAAGCATGGCTCCCCAACTGCTGCCTGGGGTCTGGCCTATATAGGGTTGGGCTCTTTACACAGGTGCAGAGTAGAGTCTTGGCTTTCCAGTTCCCATGGTGAAGGGGCTTCCATGCAGAGACCAGCTCTTTGCTTTCTAAGCTCCTGGAGGCGGTGTCCACTTGCAAAGGCACAGTGAAGCTCTTTGCTTTCCAGGTTCCTGCCATTGGCGGGTATGAGCCAGAGCAGGCCAGACAGAGCAGAGCGCTTTGAGGAGTGCCTGGAGAGTATTACGCTAAGTGAGATAAGTCAGTCAGAGAAAGACAAGTATCACACGATCTCACTCATATGTGGGATCTAATGAACAAAATTAACTGATGAATAAAACTGAAACATGAAACAGACTGTCAAATCTCAGAGGGAAGGCAGGGGTTGGTGGGGGGTGGGAAGAGATCAACCAAAGAACTTGTATGCATATGTGCATAACCCTTTTGAAAGAGAAGTATGATTTTTTACCAGAATATATGACACTGGAGTTTAGAAATTCAGACAATAGGGCGGTGAAGGTCTGGGCAGAGGTGCGGGGGAGCTGGCTAGAAGGGGTCAATGGGAGAAAAAAGGGGACATATGTAATACTTTCAACAATAATGAAAAAATCTACATTTTTAAGAACATATACAAACAAAAAGATACATATCAAATAGAATTTAGTTGCCTGTGTGAAGAAGGGAAAGGGAATAAAAGGAAAAAATCAAATAACAAAATTTTAAAGTGGTAATCACCCACCAAAGATAATAAAGTGCCATTTACGATACAGTGTGATTAACTAACGGCTCTCAACTCAAAACAACCAATCAATAAATAAACACAAAGCTGGAAGGAAAGACAACAAAAATATTACACAGTTGTCACTGGATTTGGGGATAATGAGAAATGTTTACTTTCTTCTTAATATGTTAGTAGACTCAACATTTTTTACATTGAACACCTCTGACTTTTGAAAATTAAACATATTATCAGAATTTAAGGGGAGGAAAACGCACCTGGCCGAGTATGTTTCACTGGCAGAAGGGTGGTGTTCAAAAGACAAATCCTGGAAGAAACACAAAAATTTCAAAGCACAGAATGAGAGGAACTAGGCATGAATTTTTTCTTGTTAAAGTACCGTAATTTCTGAAATAAAATTTGTGCCATTAATCAAAATAAAGGCAAAAGAAAATTTAACCAAGGTAAAAGCAAGAGCTTAAAAAAATTAAAATGTATCCTTACTCTGCATGAAAATTAATATCTTTATCTGGTGATATTTGAAAATATGTAACAATTGGTAGACCATGTATGCCTGACCAATCAGAACAGATATTGGTAGTAAACAATGTTCATATCAGATTGGCATTCCTAAAGTACAGATCACCCACACACCAGCCCTCCAGCTCCAAGACTATGTGCAAACTCAGCACCTGCTTTTTTCACAATAGATTATTTTTATGTTATAGAAACAGATATAAAGGTGAAGGGTGCCAAAATACTAGTATGACACTCACCAAATTGCCACTTTGACTTAAGGATTACTTTCAGTTAAAGGCACTTGAAAAACAGCAGATACAAAGGGACACTCTGATCTCCACTTTACTGCCTGAAAACAGAAAACTCCCATGTGAGAGCTGCCCTCCATATATCAGGAAAGAAACATTCTTATCGCCAAGGACGGAAAGCTGAGACAGAGAATTCTGCACAGACTTTCTTAAAATAATTCTTATCTTCCTTTAACCTCCCTCTGTATTTTATTTTCCACAATTGCCTCTCTTTGTTCAAACTACTATTAAAGCATTTAGGTTTTGCCACTTCTTTGGGTCTTTATTTCCTTATGAGGGCTCCTATGTCATATAAAACTATTATTAAATAAAATTTGTATGCTTTTCTTCTGTTAATCTGATGTCAGTTAAATTCCCAGGCCCAGCCAAAGACCCTAAGAGAGTAAAGTCTTGCCTCTCCTGTCGCAACCTTCACAGCTGGGTTCAGGATGACTTGAAGGAGAGCCGATGACACAATAAATACACTATACAAAATATATGAATTTAGAAGGCATTGGGGAGCCAGGTGGAACCTCTTTCGTGAAGAGTAACACCGAGACCCAGTCTGCCTCCTTTTATTCACTTTGAATACACATTTATCCTTTAGCAATGCATACAGGCGGATCAAAGGTAAAGTGTGGTATACAATGTAAAGATTGTCAGGTCAGAAAATCGCCTTGAGCCATTGCAATCACAGCAGGTCTTGCAATCCATTGGCCTTCCAATGTCTCTTTTTGATGTTAACTGCTATTTGCTTTAGCTTCCGGCACTCTCCTACAAAGGCAAGTTTCCCAAACCAGAATATCCCAAAGATTGTAAGGCCCAGAAACCACAGCAGGTGCCAGCCTACTGGAAAGAAGGAAGAAAGAGTTCTTGCTTCTCTTCTCTGACCTCACCACCCACCTGCTGTAATCCAGCGCCCTACGCTTTGACTCTGAAATTCAGTCCACATATCCCCTTCTCCATCGGACACATTCTTACGCATTCTACAAGATCTGGCTCAAAAAGTCACTTCCTTCATGACGTTTTCCTTGATACCATTAGCCAGACTTC